CTCATCTAATAATTATTTATCAGGCTGATAGCAAATGTGCTCTAGTCTATGGTCAAATGAATGAGCCCCCAGGTGCTCGTGCCCGTGTTGGCCTTACTGGACTGACCGTTGCTGAACACTTCAGAGATGCAGAAGGGCAAGATGTGCTTCTCTTCATTGACAATATTTTCCGATTTACCCAGGTCGGTTTGCATTATTTTGCCATTCTTGATTAAGTATTTTGTGTTTGGATCACATCTTGATAATACAATGTCTTCGTTTCTTTTGTTAAAACCTTTTTGCAGGCTAACTCAGAAGTGTCTGCCTTGCTTGGCCGTATCCCATCTGCCGTCGGTTATCAACCCACTTTGGCTACAGATCTTGGAGGCCTTCAAGAGCGTATCACAACAACTAAGAAAGGTTCCATTACCTCTGTCCAAGCCATTTATGTGCCTGCTGATGATTTGACCGATCCGGCTCCTGCAACCACCTTTGCTCACTTGGACGCCACTACCGTGTTATCACGACAGGTAATTTGGACTTCATTGTAGTGCAAAAAACATATCATTGCTACCTGCAATATGACTTTTGTTATTTTTATTTAGATTTCTGAGCTTGGTATTTATCCTGCTGTCGATCCACTTGACTCAACATCTCGCATGCTTTCCCCACATATCTTGGGAGAGGATCACTACAACACAGCCCGTGGGGTACAGAAAGTCCTCCAGAACTACAAGAATCTTCAAGATATTATCGCCATTCTTGGAATGGATGAGCTCAGTGAAGACGACAAATTGACAGTTGCGCGTGCTCGTAAAATTCAACGGTTTTTGAGCCAGCCTTTCCACGTCGCAGAAGTTTTCACGGGCGCCCCTGGCAAGTATGTCGAGTTGAAGGAGAGCATTAACAGCTTCCAGGTAACTCTGATTTCTTTGCTGCTTGTGATTTATATCGCCTCTCTCTGTTAATCTTCATATTTTCATTCATCTGGACGCTAACTTTTCCACTCTAAGATTTAGATATTTGTAAAGAAGAGAGCATATTGGGAAATGAAACGTGTCTGAATTCATAAAACTGCCGTTTCTTGGAGATCGGGAACTCCGTTACTCGTATTCTTTTAGTCAATATTACCTCTTAGCATTCTCTTCGTCTTTCTTTATTGTAAGTGATCATATGATGTTCTGAACAGGGAGTCTTGGATGGAAAATATGACGACCTAGCAGAACAGTCATTTTACATGGTTGGAGGAATCGAAGAGGTCATTGCCAAGGCAGAGAAGATTGCAAAGGAATCTTCTGCATAGATGGATTAATCTTCCCCACAATAATTTTGTTTGTGGCTATGCCAACATCAGGAGATTTTTGTTTCTATTTTACGTGAATGGCAGGATTGTGCTACGGATGTGGCTCGGATCCTGCTT